TTCACTAAGTGGATGAAAGCCGAGATCCTAGCCAACATCAGAGATACTGATACAAGAAAATTTGTCTAGAAAAACATTATTACCAGATTCGGGTTCCTACATACACTCATTTTAGATAATGGCACACAATTTGACAGTCGTCCTTTCAAAACTTTTTTTCAGCAGTTCGGGATTCGAAATCATTATTCTACCCCTGCGTACCCTCAAAGTAATGGACAAGCAGAGATCTCTAATAAAACAATCTTGGATGGAATCAAGAAAAGGTTGGAGAATGCCAAAGGAAAATGGGTAGAGGAGTTGTCGGGTGTTTTGTGGACGTACTGAACCACGCCTTAGCGCACAACTGGAGAGACTCCATTTGCCCTAGCATATGGCATAGAAGCTATTATCCCGTTGGAGATCGACTTACCGACTTTAAGGACCGAGCTGGTCAAAGGTAGCACTAATGACGACGTCATCATACGAGATCTCGATCTGGCAGAAGAAAAGAGAGAGAGGGCCGCCATAAGAATGGCTTCATATTGGAACCAGATGTCCCGAGCCTATAACAAGAATGTGAACCCTCGGTCTTTCACACTTGGTGACCTAGTTCTCAGGCGAGTATTGGGATCAGCCAAGAACCCAGTCCATGGGAAGCTCGGAGCAAACTGGGAAGGTCCATACAAAATAGCCAAAGTTGGGGGCAGCGAGTATTACGAACTCGAGACCTTGGATCATAAGGTGGTACCGCTCCCCTGGAACACTGTGAACCTCAAAAAGTTCTATTTCTAAAAAGTACCTTTTTAATAGAACTTCGAAGTGCCTTCGGAAATTTAAGGGTGCCACTTAGGCGATGGTATACCAGTAGTGAATGCACCAAGTCAAAGTTATCAATAAAAATTCAAAAATTCTTTTTTCTACACTTGCTTTGCATTATATACGTCATACTGCTAAAGTAGGGAGGCCAAAAAACCTGATAGAAGTCAAAAACTTAAATCAGGCGCCAGATAAAATCCAGGCCCTCAGCTAGGCATGACAATGTAAGCTGACTAGGGATGTGTTTGAGTCCAATCAGATTGGCCGGTCGGTACAGAGTAGAAACACTCTTAGATCTCAAGAGAACTTTGAGTAACTCTACTGAGGAACCGAACTATTTGAAAAAGGGCTGAGCATGGGCCAAGATTTCAAAAAGACTCAAAATATTTTTCAAGTGTAAATAGGTTCTTGTTGAGGAACCGAGCTCTTTGAAAAAAGACCGAGCATGGGCCAAGATTTCAAAGAGACTCGAAATATTTTTCAAGTGTAAATAGGTTCCTGTTGAGAAATCGAGCTCTTTGAAAAAGGGTCGAGCATGAGCCAACATTTCAAGGAGACTCGAAATATTTTCTAAATATAAAAAGGTTCTTGTTGAGGAACCGAGCTCTTTGAAAAAGGGCCAAGCATGGGCCAAGATTTCAAGGAGACCCGAAATATTTTTCAAATATAAAAAGGTTCTTGTTGAGGAACCGAACTCTTTGAAAAAGGACCGAACATGAGCCAAGATTTCAAGGAGACTTGAAATATTTTCCAAGTGTAAAAAGGTTCCTGTTGAGGAATCAAGCTTTTTGAGAAAGGGTTGAGCAAGGGTCAAGATTTCAAAGAGACTCGAAATATTTTCTAAATAAAAAGGTTCCTGTTGGGGAACCAGGATCTTTGAAAAATGGCCGAGCGGGGGTCCAGAACTCAAAGAGACTTGAAATTTTCCCAAATATGAAAATTAGTTTTTGCTTAAACGTTCTAATAAGTGAAAGAAAAACGATAAAAGTCAATTTTCATTTAAACACTGAAAGGTACAAGATCTTATAAACATCAGAAATTGCAGGTATATTAGAAAGTTCAAAAAAGATCTTATAAGTGTCTGAAGGGGCAAGAGGATGAGAGGAGCTTGGAGCCAAATATCTTGAAAATAGTTCAAAAGAAGGAGCAACTTCGGCAACAGTCAAAGCAGCCTGCCAGCCCTTGCTGAAGAATGCCTCCTGAAGCTGAGGAATTTGCAGAGCCAAGTCATTCTTCGCTTTTTCCATACCTTCATTATATGCAGCATCCTCTTTCTATGTTGCCTCAGACTTAAATTGTCAAATTCTTCAAGGAGGTTGGAGTACTCGAGTTGGGATTGTGTGAGCTCCATGTTGGCTTCATGCTCGGACTCCTTTAGCTCTTTAACCTCTGCTTGAAGCTTCTGGTTCTCTTCTGCTATGCTTTGATTTTGAGCTTGCAAAACCATCACTTCTTCGCAGAATTTGGCATATTCCTCATCCGCACTCTCCTTCTTGGCCAGAGCTGAAACTCGGGCATGGATGACGTCTTTCATTGCCTTATCTTTCCGAGCTCCAGCCTCATGGATGTTTTGCAAACCCTTGAAGATGCGAAGAAAGAAAAGACTTTGAAAAATTTCAAAGGTAAAAAGCCTAAGAGAAGTCAGAGTCAAGACTTATCAAAACCATATGCTGAATTGTCTGACGAGACACTTCATTGTTAATGAGAGCTTCATTTATTGCCAGATCCCTAGGCAAAATCACTCTTCGGACAATCCCTACTGCAACATTAAAATCTTCAAATGCAGAATCCTTGGCAGTGATTTTCCTATTTTTTGCTCTAAGGATTGGTCGGAATGGAGGATTGAAAGGCTCGATAGGAAAGCTAGCTTCGAACTCGGCAGTCCTCTACCTTTTAGGGGCCGGGTCTTCGGCGAGCACAAAAATTGAATCATCTTCTTGAGCAGGGGAGCGGACAGGTTCCGGAGGATCCATCTCCAGCACGAACAGAAGTTTCAGCAACTCGAGCCAAATCCGCTGGGTCATCCAAAGGCAAACCAGCGTCATTGGAAAGAATCACCTCGGGAAGGGCCTCGACAGTTGGTTCATCAAGAATAAAGATCGGAGTAGTTGAGGTAGGTGGAGTCGGTTTGGTGGTAGGAGTCGGCTTAACTGTTGACAAAAAGTCTAAAAAAATTTTTACAGTCCTTCATCTAAAGACTGTTAGAGGTCTCTTTTTTCCTCGAGGCGTCTTCTCTCGAGTAAATTGTATTGCCTCCCGATCTGCTGCAAGCTTCGCATTAGGTCGATTCGGCACAACAATAAAGGACGTGTAGTTTGGTGTGTATCTGAGCAGCGTATGGGCAGCATGGCAGAATAAGGACTCATTGAAATTCCAAACCTTCTGGAGCTGGTCCAACTTAACAGAAGATTCGGGAATCTTGTTTTTCACCATTTCTCCTACATAAGCGATATATCATATACAAGAAAAGAGAGAACAACAAGTATTTTTGAGGAAAAAGAAGGTTCAAATACCTGGTGCGCCTTCTTCATTAGGGCAACGATAAGAAGGTGAGGCTCCAGCAAGGTATTCCCAATTTTCAGAAACGAACACAATGTCATTTTCATGACCTTTATTCGAATCTAAAAGATGGGTGACCAGATTACAATCCTTCTTCCTTACTGAAAGATAGTAGCTGTCTCCAGCAGCTTTGATGATGTAGCAGTACAGGATATCCCATAGACCAAGACTCAGACCTAAGAGTTTGTTTAACGCAGACACCCCCATGACTATCCTAAAGAAATTATGGCAGCATTGGAGGGGACAGAGTTTTGCGGCAAAGAGAACCCAGAGAAGAAGAGGATCGAGGGGAAAACGGATTCCACTCTCAGTAATGGCACGAGTGGGGATGAGGATTCTCTCTCTGGTACCAATCAGTGGTTCATCTCTCCCAACAACCTTAACCTCGACGTCGTTTGGAATATTGTATTTGACTTTGAAGGCAGGGACTTCTGATAGGGTAAGAGGAACCATGAAGAATATGAAGTGCAGATGAAGAAAAATGCAGAAAGAAAAGAATAAGAGTCTGAGAGAGCAAGAATCTAAGAGGCTGGTAGCAGAAAAGCAAAAATACGAAAGAAGACGGTTATAAAAAAAGAGGAATTTTGAAAGGCAAACATTTAAATGCTCTGAAAGGCAAACATTTAAATGCTTTGAATGTGCCGCCAAAACGAAAAGGCATGTCAAAAAGTACAGGTAATGATGAATTGATAAGAAAATGGCTGACAGCCAAAAGACGTCTGTCATACGTTTTCTGGGGGCAAATGAAGGGGTAAAACCTCATGATTACACGTGGCATAGCATTAAATATGCTCACGTGATGTTGATAAGACCAGACACGTGATGGAGGATCCTCTACTAGAGTTTTCTAACCAAGCCGAGCTAATTAGAGGATCGACAATAGTTGAAAAAAATCGGTTCTCTTCATGATCGAACTCATCAGTCTGTTCGGTTAAGCAATGAAAGAGCTCGACTTGTGCCAAACTGAGTCCGTTAAAGTATTCAGTAAGACAATTGAAGAGATCGATTTGTGTCAAACCAAGTCTCTTAATCTGTTCGACAAATACCAAGTGTGCTCGGCTTCTGATATGTTCAAGTTGTTGTAGATAAACAGAAGGACGCCTATAACTTAGGCAATCAGATAAGCGAATCAGAGAAATTGAAGATATTAAGAGAAAATAATGGAGAAACATCAGCAACTTTCCAAACTGAGTAACTGAATTAAAGGAAGATGTGTCACCTTGAACCTAAATTTATGGAAACCCTAAGGGGTGAACGATTTATAAAAAGCAGAAGAAACCAAGGTAAAAGGTACGTTGAACCTTTCTTGTCTTCTTCCATTCGTTTCATTATTTTTACTGACTTAAACATCGGAGTGTTTTCGATCGAAACACTTCAATCTTAGGCAGTGTGTTGATTTTGCAGAAAGAGGAAGATTAGTAGATCAAACTCAGAATCCTATAACCATTTCAATTTCAGTCGGAGTTAATCTCAATTTTTTGTCTCTTTTATGATTTCTTGAGATCTAGTTATGAGTAGTTTATTTTTTTTAAACACTCTAATCTCAACGTGAAAAATTGAATTGAAGAGGTACGGATCTGACATTATCATAATGCTTCATTGTTAAGGGAATTTAGGAGTAACAGGCCCCTCCACTTTCTGTCTCTCTTCAACTTTTGCTCGTGAGTGTTGGTCAGGTTTGTGTGCATACGCGTATAAACTCAAACGGAGAAGTCAAAACTCCATCTTGGTTTGTTTGCTTTGCTTTCTTGGTGTTGGCCGTGTAGTGGGAAATATTAAAATCAATATTTTATTCTCAAAAATAATAAACAAATCATTACAAAATTCCTAGACTTTTTTCTTCTCTTTCTGGGTTCGTTGAACTAGATTTAATGTTGGCTTTGAGTCCGGATGAGAGAGAGAGAGAGGAGACCCGAGGGAGCGAGGAAGAGAGAGAGAAGGGTGATATATGGGGGTCTGGTGGGTTCTGACTCACTTTTCTTTCTGATCTGCTTCTTCTATGTAGTTGAAAGAAGTTCTCTGAATTTATCTCTGGGTACTGGGTAGCATACGTGAAAAATTCATTTCCAAGTTTTTGGCAGACTTTCATTGACTCAGGTATAGATCTTTGATCTCAGTTTATTTACCTTCAAATTTTTGCATCCTATGCTCATATTCATCTGCAAATGTGTTTCTGAATTATATATATACCTATATCTATATATATGTTCACCCAAGATTTTTGTTCTTCTTTTTTGTTGGTAAAATGGGTAGGAAATCTAGTTGTTGAAGTTCTGGGATCTTCCTCTGTTTTGGGGGAAGATATGATTCTATTTAAACCAAAAAAAAACCTCCCTTTTCTTGAGGGAAGGGGTTTTGAGTGTTATTATTTCCTTATTATTTTACCCATTTTATGAAAGAGAGAGTCAAGTTAGCTATAGGGGAAGGAAAAATAAGAAATTTAGTCAAGTTTGTGGTCTATGCTTCAGTCTGTGATTTTGTTAAAGAGAAATTTATGTGTTTATGTGATTCTTGTCGATCTTTTGGATAAGCTATGAAGCTTTAATCAGGTTATATCTTTCTAGCAACTAGTCTTTTTAGGCCTTTTTCCCCCCATAAAGTCAATGGTCTGGTTCATTCTTGTTCTTCTGATGAAATATTGTGTTGGACTAACTTTATCTTCAAACGGTGAAACTTTTTAAACACTGACAAATCTAGTAAAAGAAAATTTTTCGAGAAAAATACAAAAAATGAAGTACAAAAACCAGACCACAATTGAAGTCCATGTGTCAATAATTTTTCATATGAATTCCTTAGAATTTCCAGTAGGAAATGTCGGCCATCGTTGTACTTTAGATGTCTTTGTAGGAAAATCATGTCACCTCCCTTAGTTTAACTCTTGGCATTTAGATGGAAATTGTGGAAATCTTTGAGCCATAGGTTCGGTTAGAATTTTGTTCGAAGTGTTTTTGTAGATTTGTAATTACAGAGATATATTCAGATCATGTATGTGTAAACAGTAGGACTTTTAGCTGATTATGATTTGAAGTTTTTCTTCTGAGGGTGGGATTACAGGAACTAATTAAACTATGGTTTCAAAGTCAGGTTAAAGAACCTAAAAAAGTTGTCTCTGATAAAAGTTTTGTGATTTGTGTACTTTAAGGTCCATGTGAAGCTGTCTTTTCCATCTTCTCTTATCCCTTTTTTTCCTTTCCTTTTCTTTTCTTTTCATTTCATTTATATTCTACTTGCGTGCTTTTCAATTTTCTCCCTTCTTCTTTGTTCTTGGTAATTTGTCTTTATCACCAAAACCTGATTTAGTTTTGTTCGTCTGCAGCTATATTCACTTGTCAAGTGGACTCTAATTTATCAAAAGATACTTACCAAGAAAAAAAAAGGTTTACCACAGAACAGAGAGATTTGTCTGTATGTTTTAATTCCCAACTAACTGTTTTGGGGATTAAATGTCGTTCCGCAGTATAGTTCGTGATGTAAGGGATGGTTTTGGGAGTTTATCCAGGCGGAGTTTTGACATCAGGCTGTCCAGTCATCACAGGGGGAAGTCTCACAGTTCTTTTCATGAATTGACCGACCAGCCACTGGTAGTTCAGAACAGCCGCTGGGCTAACCTCCCTCCAGATCTACTTTATGATGTAATTAGAAGATTGGAAGACAGTGAAAGCACGTGGCCAGCTCGAAAGCATGTTGTTGCATGTGCTGGTGTTTGCAAGTCATGGAGACGTATGTGTAAGGAAATTGTTAGAGGTCCAGAGTTATGTGGGAAGGTTACTTTCCTGGTTTCCCTAAAGCAGGTGTGTAATGTGCTTCTGTTTTTTTTCTCAGTTTTTCTATTTACGGCATGAGTATGTGTGACATATTGACCTCTACACTGACATCATTTTATTGTAGAGTTGGCCTAAATTGTATGAGTTGGGCTTTTATAGAAGTATAGAATTTGTGTTCAAAGAGTAGAGACGAGTATTAATAAGTGTTGGCAGCAGCATTAATTAATTTTGTTTGTTTTTGCTTTCAGCCAGGATCTCGTGATGGAGCTATTCAGTGTTTTATCAAAAGGGATAAATCTAACTTAATATACCACCTTTTTCTGTGTCTTAGCCCTGGTAAGCATTTTGTTCATCCCTTTGGTAGGCTCAAGTTTCTTGATACTTGTGATTTATTAGTTTTCCTTGATTGTTGATTATTCCAAGATGGCAATTTATTCCCTTTTTTAGTCTAAAGCATATGGAAATCAATTGTCGTCACGGTACAGTTATATTTATAAGTGATATCATCAAGTGTATTGGGCACCTGCAGAAATGACACCTAACATGCATTTTTGATCTACAGCAAAACATGCTGTAAGATAATTACTATGCTGGAGGCAGACATAGTCAAGTTTTCTGCATCTTTTTGAAAAACCGTCTGTTCCAGTTGGCATCTTGTTTTTCTATTGCTACTTGTTTTCCCAGTGTTGCTTTTTGAATATTTGGTACGTTTTCCTGTTGTTGATTTGACACGTGATTATATATGCAATTGCTACTAACATATTTCAGTTAATTAAACAGAAGAAACATACAAAATTTTCATTGTTGTAAGCTATTAAACTTACCTAAGATAGGAGATTAGAAGAGAAACAAGTACAATATTACCATTATGACATTGGACTGGTTCAATGCAATTAGAATAGGCAGCTTTTGAGTATTTTAACTTATACCATATGATGTTGTGAAATAACACGTTCCCCCTTTTCTATGTTTAGAAAGAACCTTCAGTCTTCCTGTGGTTATGACACCTTTCTGAATAAGTAGTAGTTCAATATCTGGTGTTTTTCACAAGTTAGATTTGAAGCCTGGAGTTTGCAGGGGGCTACAGGGTTTTAGTTAGTTGTATAACAGGTGACCATAGTTCAAGTCAAATTCTTGTATGGCGTGGAAATGTTATCAAGATAATTCTGATCATCATTCTTGGTCAGGTTGCATTGATGCTTGTACAATCATCAAAAGCTACTGGATTAGGTTGTAACTTGGAAATTAAGTTCATTCGAAAAGCCATTGTGGCTAACCTAGACATTTCATGGTTGTATTTGCTTGGTGTGTAAACCAGTTGGAGCAGTTTGTCGGTTTGGTTTTTTAGATCAGGATGAGTGGCTTGCGTTCATTGGATCTGTTTTTTTTTTTTTTTTAACTTGATTTCTGGATATGCATAATTTGGACTGGTTTTGTCCATATAATTTAGAATGCTGAGTAAGAGTTTTTTTATTTGTTACAACCAGCTCTGCCCCTCTTCTGATTTTACGTTTGTGCCAGTTTTTGTTCTGTGGGCTGTCAGAAGTTTTATCTGCTGCTAATTATTTTACTAATGTGTTTATAGTGTGATCCTATTTTGCAGCTTTACTTGTTGAAAATGGGAAGTTTCTTCTCTCTGCTAAAAGAACTCGGCGAACTACTTTCACAGAGTATATTATCTCCATGGATGCTGACAACATTTCAAGATCAAGCAGCACTTATATTGGAAAGCTGAGGTAACGAGATAATGATCAAAGTAAATATTCAATGTCCATTCATTTTCTTGCTCTTGCATGCATTACTTTTGGACATCATTGTTCCAAAGCAATTTAAAGTTCTGCAACTCTCTTGTTGATTCATATTGAAAAAATGTAAACCATGGCACGAAAAAATCCCACCTCCTTTAAAATATTCATGATGGGCATTATTTTAATTTATTACAATATTTTTAGGCGGCAATGCGACTCAGTTGTGGAATACTCTTCGTAATTCCATCTAATTAATTAGTCTCAAGAAAATCTACCCCTGCTGAAAACAAGCAACATCCATTTCCGATGAATGAGTAAGAGAAGATATATTTAATTTGACTTATTGTGAAATCTTCTTATCAGGTCAATAAAAATTTTAAAGCTGCATGGCATACATGACTTTTGTCCCCAATAGATTTACGGGGATAAAGGAGAAGGTTATGCACCTTCTCAAGGTATGACATCCAATATTGGGGACAGCAGACCTGTACCTGTCATTGGGATGTTTCACTTCTATACTCTGTAAAAACTTTGATTCATTGATCTGCACTTTCTCATGTAGTCAAGGTGTCTAGGTATAGCAGCCATTCCAGGCCCACACACATTGGAGATGGTTGCTTGTCTGTTTGTTTCTTTGATCTTATTCAACCTATGTAGGGCATGGGGTTTTTTAATTTGCTAATACTGAAAGTCCTTATCTATAAACTTGTCTTGAATTTTTGTTTTATAAGCATGTTTTATTCATCATTGGTGATCATTCATTTCTTGTTTCAGATCAAATTTCCTTGGCACAAAGTTCATAATATATGACACACAACCTCCGTATACCTGTGCCCACATCCCCCAACCTGGGCGAACAAGCCGTAGATTCTATTCAAAAAAAGTCTCCCCAAAAGTTCCAACTGGCAGCTACAACATAGCCCAGATCACATATGAGCTGAATGTGCTTGGTACACGAGGTCCACGAAGGATGCACTGCATCATGCACTCGATCCCCACTTCTTCGCTTGATGCAGGTGGTACAGTGCCTGGCCAACCAGAGCTTCTATCCCGCTCCCTTGAGGACTCATTTCGTAGCATTTCCTTCTCAAAGTCTCTGGACCACACTGTTGAGTTTAGCAGCTCACGATTTTCTGAAATTGGTGGATCATCATCAATTGAGGAAGAGGATGGCAAGGTAAAACCTTTAATTCTTAAAAACAAAGCCCCAAGATGGCATGAACAGTTACAGTGTTGGTGCCTGAATTTTCGAGGACGGGTGACTGTTGCATCTGTTAAGAATTTCCAGTTGATCGCCTCCACGCAGCCAGTTCCTCAAGCACCACCGGCTTCTCAACCGGCCCAATCAGATCATGACAAGGTCATCCTGCAGTTTGGCAAGGTTGGTAAAGATATTTTTACGATGGATTATAGCTATCCCTTATCAGCATTTCAGGCTTTTGCCATCTGCTTGAGCAGCTTTGACACCAAATTGGCTTGTGAATAGAAAAAAATAAGTATGATCAGTAGGGTGGGGGAGGCATAGAAGTAGAATGGCATTGCCTCCTTTATTTTATCTTCTTGCCTTTCTCATTTCAGAATAGGATGTTGTTAATGCCATTATGTTGTTGTAAAACTCCATTTTAAGTGTCCCTGTGCAGATTACAGGGCCCCACACCACTGTAAACTCAAAATCTTCTAATTTACTTCTATCTTCTTTGTCAATTTCTCTATGATTACCATGTTATTTGTTGGTTGATCTGTTTAGGACTCCCACTTTTTTTTTTTTTTTTGGGTTGTGGTGGGGTGGGGAGTTGGGCCCCGGGGTGGTGGTGGTCTGTCTAATATGACTTATGTAAGTCAAGTTATAACTCAATGAGATAAAGTTAGGACAAGAAGCGGTTAGAAGAGTGATCCTAACATGTCAATCGATTCTAAATGATCTCATTTTGTTATAACTTCACCAGATTGAGGTTTTTTTTTTGCATGTACGTCAAAAAATTTTGTTTTTGATTCTCAATATGGTTATACTGAAAAGACAACAGGATTTAGTGCAACGATAAAATTGTTCCATTTAATCTAAGTTTCATGGTCCGAGTTAGAAAAATAATCTCTCCTCGTGAGAGTTGAAGTCGCGTATATTCAACTCTCTTTAAACTCTGCACTGACAAAAACCTATGGTGTCCTTTCAGTATGTTAGACAAGATAGAGAAGAACATTAAGGATTGTGGAAATTAGCTGTAAAAACCTGTGCAGGTCCTGTCAAATAAAAGGGCCATTGATTAAAGTGAAGTGAAGAATCTTCCCAAATGGGACAAAAGGCTGCCCTTGCATTCTACGCCCAAGTGATGTGAATGTGATTCATAACCCACATAGGCCATGTATCGAGGTCAAGGTGATGAGTTGGTTTTGGAGACCTATGAGCAGAACTGGCCACTTATTGATTAGTGCCAGCCACAATTGGAAGGGGGTTACACATCAAGGGTTGAATATAGACAATCCAACATTGTAAAAGAATACACATGGGTTTGGAGGTTGGAGGGTTTACATGTAAGAAAGAAAAAGCTGTTTTGATCATCTTGTGTTTTCTATGGACCCTAGAAAACAATAAAGATGCTCACATCAATTTTCGTATTAACTTCATGTTTAGTCGATGACGTAATCTAGCTATCAACATTAGATTTCGAGCGAAACCTAGTGAACCCCGGTAATTTAACAATTCATATGGAGTTGATAAGAAAAAAAATTGATAAAATCGATAATCAGTATAGTTGAAAATTTACAAACAAATACCATCGCATGCATTTCACGTGATCACACCTAAGGAGCATTTTTTTAAAACTTTAGGGACACCTAAGTTACAAATTTGAGGGACCAAAGTGACCCCTTAAGATACAATTCAACGATTGGCAACCAATTGATACAAATCGCATACTCGAGGGACTATCGATCAAAATTGAATTTGGGCAATTTACAATTTTTGCCTTTAAGTAGACACCTAGTTTCTAGTCAGTCCCAAAAGTTCCTACTAATTAAATTCTTTGAAGTTTTAACTAAAGGTTATTTTAGTCCTCCTATCTACATTTATTAATTTATTACCAAAGGACCTCACTTCATCTGGACATAGGGGGGTTTGTTTATTCAACAAAAGAATATGTCTCTAAAATACATCTATATTTATCTCAAACTCACAATATATCTCAAATTTTTATTTTATATCTTTTTTTTCATGGTCTGTTATCTTTCTCAAAATCAAATGAAACAAAGTAAAATTTTTCTAGACTATGCATAAAACATTTTTTGTCGATAAATATACTATTTTCTCAAGTCACGTGTTTACCACCGAAAGCCATTATGTCACAATAAATTAATAAATTTAGATATAAAGTCTAGATTGAAACTCGGTAAATACTTTTAATGATTTGATTTTAAATAGAATTTGAGGGACAAAATAGAAATTAAGTATATACTTTAGGGGTATAAACTATAACTTTTCCTTGGTTTTATTGTCAATATCAGCTCCAAAGAGATGCATCTAATACAAAATTAGGAAACAAGTATGAAACCTAAAAATATCAGGGAGTCTTTATATAATTTCATAAATTTAAGGGGCCATCTGTATAACATTTTGCTTTTCCTTCCCATTCTTTTGGTTAGAATGTTCTTGAATTTTCATATTTTCCCCACATATTCTTTTCTTTTTATATACGCCTTTGTTGGCTAGTTCTGAATTTAAGACAAAAGGCGCGAGGCCTCAGCTCCTTCGCTTAGGTTTCCCTATGTGCTTTCTTTTCAAGGTACTCTTTTTGTTTCTTTTGTTCGTCTTTTTTTCTTTTTTATTCTCCACGGATTGAATGGATTATTCTCTTGAATTGTAATTTTCATTCGGTTGCATTCTTTGATTTGTTGGAATGTGCATAGTTCTTTGTCTTAGATCTGTTACTTCTATCTGGGTTTGAATATACATGGATTTTGAACGCTTTGTTTAGAATCTATTTGAATCATATATGGGTTTTGGGTAATCTTGATCTGGATTATCAGGTTTTATAGTTTTTTTTTTTTGGATTCTGTTGGTTTATGCTGAATTGATTTTGATGGTTTTTATCTGGGTTATGAAAATTTGTGGACTTGGGAGTCGTTTGGTTGGTGAATCTAGTTCATTTTGTTTTTGTTCAGATTGGAAATTTTCTTGTTGTGCCTTTTGGAGGTGTTTAATTAATTTTCGGCTTTTGGATTTCAGGTGAAAAATTCTGGTGGAATTGAAGGTTAGTTCGGTAGTTCTTTGAGTTGGTTTTAAGACCTTCTATTGTTTGCACATTTTTGTGGATGAATTTGGTTAAGATGTTTCTGGGTCTTCCTTAAATTTGTAATAATTGTCATGGAGGGTTAGGAATATTTTTGATATATTCTCATATTTTGAGTTTCGGTTGATTACTCTAATTGAAATCTAAGGGGGTTTATGTTGATATTTTGAGTGGATTTCTTGAGGATTCTGTAGAGAGGTTTATTGTTTTGTATCGTCTGATAATGCCGTCTACAGAGAATCAGGGCTCTCCTATTCCTTTTGCCTCATTTCGTCGCCCCATCTTGAGTATTAGGAGTGATCGGGTTCATTCCATGGAATCGGACCATGATTCTAGTGCCAAAGAGTCTGAGATTGATTCATTTCAAAAGCAAGTTTTCAACCGATTTCAAGGTCTTTCAGATGTTAATGCTGATGAATTCCTCTCTATTACATGGATACGGAACCTACTGGATGCGTTCAGTTGTTGTCAGGATGAGTTTAGGGTAATCTTGTGCAATAACAAGGCCCAACTCTCAAAACCGCCTTTGGATAGGCTCACTTTTGAATTTTTTGAAAGGAGCATTAAGGCTCTTGATATTTGTAATGCAACTCGTGATGGAATTGAGAAGATCCGAGTGTGGCAGAAGCACTTGGACATTGTTCTTTGTGCTCTGGATTCACAGCAGATGGTGCTGGGTGAAGGCCAGGTTCGTCGAGCAAGAAAAGCTTTGATGGATTTAGCACTTGTGATGCTGGATGAGAAGGAAACTGGATCTGTCTTTTCACACCGTAACCGGTCTTTTGGACGTCGTAATAAAAGCAAGGATCACCATACTCGTCAGTCTGGGCACTCGCGTTCTCTCTCTTGGAGTGTGTCTCATTCTTGGTCAGCAGCTAAGCAGCTCCAGGTAATCTCAAACACCTTGATCCCACCACGTGCAAATGAGATTGTGGCTACTAATGGGCTTGCTATCGCTGTCTTCACAATGAGTTACGTGCTCATGTTTGTGCTGTGGGCTCTTGTTGCTGCAATCCCTTGTCAAGATCGAGGCATTCAAATTCATTTTTCAATTCCGCGGCAATTCCAATGGGGTATTCCATTGAATCTGCTTCATGGTCGGATAATGGAGGAATCTAAGAAGCAAGATCGACGGAATTCCAATGGGTTATTGAGGGAGATTTATCAGATTGAGAAGTGTGTTCATCGCCTGACAGACTTGTTAGATGCTGCTCAGTTTCCGCTAAAGGAGGAACAGAAGGAAGAATTGAGTCAAGGAGTGCAGGAGTTATCATCTGTATGCAGTGTTTGTAAGAATGTGATGGATCCATTTGAGCGCCAGTTGAGGGAAGTCTTTCGTCAGATTATGAGTTGCCGGACTGAGGGTCTTGAATTCTTGGGTGTGGCAAACTCTTAGTAATTTTAATCGGTAAAAAACCGGTGAGTATCAAATGTAAAAATTGGCGAATATAAATCATCTTAGTTTCTGCCTGTCTATCTTATGGATGAAGGCCCAGATTGTCAGCAACAATAATGCATTTAGCAGGTGACTTTTTGTATTTATCTGCATACTCTTGTGTAAAATAGATCATATTTCATATAGCTGTCCTGTTCCATGGGCTTTGTTATTTGGCTTGTTTTCTCTTTCTTATATTTTGGGGGTTGTTATATATCTTTTGGGTCATGTTGAGTGAACAAGTTTCTTGTGTTGGGAAGCAAGTAAGTTATTTACATTTTTTATCCCTTGTGTTGACATACAAATTAGTTTCTCTATATATTTACTGTGTTTTTGGATTTGGATTCTTCGTTTTGGTACGTGGATGTAGCTCTCTTCTTTGTTTTCCTTTGGCCCTTCACGGAGTGATATGTATGCAATCTGTGGCTGCTGCTGAACGAGTTGTTGAACTGTCCTCGCGAGGTGATGAACTACAGACTCAAATTCTTACACCCTTCTCTCACCAAATTTGCAGGATTAATACTAGCTCTTCATTGCCTGTACTATTATTCATGAATATAGTTTGACAATTTTACAATTTGATGACCAAATTGGCTGGATTTCATTTTAATTGATGCTAATACTTTGTAGTATTTGTAATGTTGGGAAAAGTATTGTGGTTGAGATCCAGAACCAAAGATGCCAGCTTTGCTTCAAAATGCTGCTCTCGCTAGTTGTCTTGAGCTTTAATTGTTAGGAGCTTATCTTAAATAACACCTTTTGATGAATTGGGTATCAAGTATTCCAGTGAGAAAATCACTGGTGCATAGCTGGCAAAGTCCCAAAAGTTGACAGGTTTGCTTCTTTTTGTTTTTCCATTGCCCTCTATTTGTAACAAATTGAGCAATCTACGGGTGACGAGAATAATGTTAATTTGTTAACCTAATTCATTGCTTTCGTAGTGGGATTCCAAATACTAGATGGTATCTAATGTCAATTCGGTTATAGTAGTATATTAGATCGGCAAGTTTGATCAACAAATTAGGGCCAATAAGGGTTATGGGCCTACAAGTATAAGGAAAATGAATACTTGCATTCAATTATATGAATAAGAATAGCCTAACATTTAATGTACGAGCCCACCTTAGTCCAAATTATGAGGTACCTATTGAACTAGACTTTCTATTCTTGGTCCCTTTGTGGCTAGATATGTAGTGAAAATGGCTTGGCAAAACAGGCTGCAGAGGAAAAACACATGAATGAACTTGGAACATAATAAGCCGGAGTAGCTAGAACTTTGCCTTTTAATTTTTTTCCCTTGGGTAAAAATCATAGCTGTTTCTTGAACTTGCTCTTGGTTTTAATGTAGTCCCTAAACTTTCGATTGTCTAATTTCATTCCTCAACTATCATTTTTATCTCAATTAAGTTCTTTCATCCATTTTCATCGTTAGATCAACACTGAAATAGATTAGATTGGACTATTTTTCAATTGATCTAACGATAAAGATTGATTAAATGACTTAATTAAGACAAAATTGATAGTTAAACGATTAAATTAAAATAATTGAAAGATCAGTGACCAAGTTAAAACTGAATACAAAGTTTAAAGACCTATTATGTTTTTTACTCTTTTTAAACATAATGAGGACTGGCTTTGTCGTAACAATAAGATTATTCCATTGTGACTTAGAGGTCACGGGTTCGAATTACAAAAACAACATCTAGATAAAGTTGTGCATATCTCACTCTTCCCAGACCCCACAATGACAGAAATCTCGTGTACTGAGTACGCTCTTCTTTCAAACATAATGCACATGTGAAGAGAGAAGTTTGAAACATGAGATTGGTGTCCCAATTTCACACAAATTTCAAATGGAAATGTTCCACGAAAAACTTCTATGAATTTTCAAATTGGACTCTTAATTTTGGAACATTCGAAAAGGAATTGTTGACTCTAATATTTGACCAGGAGTGTAATCTTTCAAATCCCATATCCTTATTTTAGTTTGGCAATATAGATGAAGACTTAGAGTTTTGTTGGAATTGGAAAATCCCAATGGAGGATAGTGAAGGTATTGTGCTAAAAAAAAAAGGTTCAAATTCGATTCTTAACCTCATTTTTGCAATTTAAAAGACCGCGGTCGATTTTTCAAAAAAAAAAAAAAACAAATAGTCCTGCAATTTTATTGGGCAAATTCACTGTGAACCATATAACATACAAAATATTACTATAATTTAATTCATATTTATATACCGAGTCTTCCCTGCCCTTGGGGTTAACTATAGACTATAGCACTCCAGGAGCAGGTTTTTATTTTCTCTACAACACCTAACCATGCAGATGAAGAAACTACTGGTTTCATTCACCTTCTCTTTACAATATGAACACCAACTGCTCCTATAAAAGTGACCCAAGAGACAGATAAACAACTTCTTCTTTTTTTAATGCCTTTTCTATAAAATCTATTTGTGCTCCATCCTTTCTATAGAGATTCAGTGACCGGTCAGAGAAACCAATTTCTTCTTATCTTTTGTTATCAGCTGTAAAATAATATTGCCTACCAGCACATGGAATTCACTCTGCGAAGAACTCGTGGGGGTCTGCGCCTTTCCACAACTGGAATCAGGTTCTCCATGAGCTGCACGTGAAATTACAACCAAAAGAAAGAACAGTAAATTAAATCAACATTAACCCAACCATTTCAGGGTTCCATTTTGCTTCTATAACAAAAGAACCAAACAAATAGATGATTGATTCCCTAGTTAGATGTCCATCATGGGAGAGAAACAAAAATTTCGTTAGAAAATGCCTTTTAGAGCAAAATTGTTAAAAACTCTCATATATCAAAGCAGGAAAAATTAAGTTCGCCAGAGGGGCTCTTGGACATAATATAACACGATCAAAGAACAGAAAGAAATGTTTTCCAATATGTTTGAAAAGTCCCCTTTCTAAGAATGTCACTCTAGTAAAGTAAAACCCGGATATGCATTTATCTTTCAGTTGGAAGACTTTAATACTTCTATTTGACTATGCTGGTGATTACCAGGCGTTTACTACGCATTTTTCGTTTCCATCAGCATTACTAAAGTAGAAAACTAAAAGGCCAATCCACTGAATTCCAAAATGTCCCTTCACATAACCCCCCTGATAAATAAGTATTCAGGACATCTCTTGTTTCCTTTGACATTCCAATTGTTGCATCTTGTCCAATTAGCAATTGCCAATAGGAGTCCACAACACAAGTTGTGAATGACATTAGTGAAGAATCTAGAAATGATAATCAAATAATATAGAGGAAAGGATGTTTGGCCACGGTGGGGTGAGTGATCAGCCAAGAATTGAGTTATAAACAAACTTAAGAACTAGATGGAAGGAAAACAATGTTTGATGCAAAAAAAAAAAAATAGAATGCAATTAATTCTTTAAACAGTTGACTATAATCTGAAAGCAAGGAAGACACACAGTGGGGTATCAACTATCAAGTGAAACTCCCATGAATTGGAGAAGTCATCCATATTCTTGTAGATTCTATCTAGGGCAGCTGAATCTCCCAAATTACATTAGAAAGAAAAAAGAAAGAGGCTTTTAAGCATCAAGAATATTTCCTTTCCATCATAAATTACCATAGAGATACACTTTTTCTTCTTTTGGGTAAATAAAGGAGACACCTTTATGTTCTTAATGAATTCCGGAATATTCCACAACAGAGTCACAAATGAAGGTGAAAATTTTTCCATCTTATGTTGAGCTTCTTGTCCAACACAACATGTGCTTCAGCATATCAAGTGTAAGGTACAAGGCCAAGGTTAAACTTGAGCAGTAACAATTTATTATATTCAAAACATTTTGGCAACCTATTGAGCTTAAGCACATGATAACATGGTTCAAAGTATTAGCCGATATCGATACGAGTTGACCGAGTCGTATCCATCTCGGCACCTTCGGAGACGATACCGTTACATGATACATATAAACCCCAAGTCTCATACAATTCGGCCTAGTCATACGAGTTGTATCCGAGTCGTTAAAATATCGTCACCGAATTGGCCAATACGGTTCCACGACACCGTAATATGACCTGAATTTCTGGTCATTTTCAACATTTTTTTTTTAAGTCATATAGCCCAATACCGCGCCGCGACGCCACGATCGATGTGTCTCAACGCTCTCCAGGTTGATGGCCGATATAACGACCTTGAACCATGTATGATAATGATATGTGTAACAAATTCAACGACTACATAATCAATGGTAAGATGCTAAAGAACTGTCTATAGAATTTAATACTGCAGCAAAAACATGATATCATGTGCAAATTCCAGGTTATAAGAAATCCAACTAACAAATAACAACCAATATAGACCAAGGATTTTTTTCTCGTGTCATAAAAGCACTCTCCGAAGTCCTAATATCAATAATTAGCACATAACTGTCTTTTCTAACTTCAAGAAACAGTTTGACACTTCTGAATCACAGTTAACAACAGCATTATGCCTCAATTTTTCACTTGAACTCTAACTGCCACCGTTTTTTCCTTTTTCAATTGCATGAATTTTCTAAAGGGTCCTTTGCTGCACTATCTAGAATCATTTGCAAGAGGAACATCATGGTCAGATTTCTATTACTTTTTTCGGTTGTCATGCTCTCATACTGTACAGTGTGTGTGTGTTAGGGGTTGGGGGGTTCCCTTTAAGAATAAATATTTGTATATGTGCAAAATGAAAAGATTCTTATAACTAGATATTTCCCTTTATAATGTCACTAGCGCATCATAAGTTGCCTTACCTGGTGTGTCATCCATCATTGGCATGTCCTTTGTATAATATTCTTTTCTTATTATTTCCACATATTGCTCTGTAGAGCGTTAACATAACGTGTTAACGTAGCGTGTCAACTATTTAACAGAAATTCAGTGTGTTTCATTGGAATCACCATCTATCAAATATTACAACTAGCAAGTTGAATTCTCAACTTATCAATACACAACAGTGGTTAAGATTGATCTAATTTTCATCTATTTTGATCCAATGGTACAAAATTCATCACTCAAATTTTTTTCCCACTAAAAAATTTCATTTTCTTTGCACAGCTCTCAATATCAGATAACTCAATTAACACATTCCCCAATACCAAATAATTTCATCAATCCACACATACCTCTCTTCTCTCTCTTCATTTTAATTTTAAATTGTATAATTAAAAAAATTAGTTGCTATTTAAAATATAAATATTGCAAAATCAATGTTTGATTTTGGCATTGCATAGTGTCTTAAGACAC